CATGCGAAATATGAATACTGCATGCATTCAAAATTAGTGTCACAACAATTACATATGCTTTCATTACTCAGGGACTGCAATGTTACTAATTGGTCGGAATAATCTCGAAATTGACTCATTGTGACAGAGCAGTTAATGAATTAAATGTGTCAATTAATGCGACACGCAAGGAACCTTAACGAATGTTAAGGCAAGCATTAACGTAGGTTCATGACGCAAAGCCTCAAAATGCAGTATTTCCATTTAGGTTTAAATTTTTGGATCCCTAAGCATCATTTTCAGCCTTGAAAAGCACCTCGCATTGTCAGTTTTCTTCGCTTTTTTAAATGAGATGTTGCTGAAAATACTCGATCGTAAAATGGTATGACGAATACAACATGTACAATAAATATACTGATTCATAGTTTTATTATCCACAGATCTAAAAAAAGAATTTCAAATAAAAAGTTCTCTTTTTCTTTTTATCTATAGAAAATTCATCATCAGTAAAACAGCTATGATTACTATCGAATGTCATTGATTGATCCTAGAAATTACAATAGATAATTTTATTTTATTTATAAAAGTTTACTTATACATCATCATTCACCATCAAATAGGACAATCCACTGCATGACTAATAAGTAAAAATTTCATAATATCTTCACATGCTCGTTTTGTTCCTAATGAATCAGTTTAAAAATGCATGACAGAAATTGCATAACTTGCAATCGATTATAATAAATTCAAATTATTAATAAAAATAACAAATAGACAAATATACTTTAGGTGTTTTTCATATTTTACTATAATTACCAATGATTAATAAACGTTCATAATAACAATAACGAGACATTTTCACATCAGCAACAGCATAAATCTAGATAATCAAAATCATAAATATTCATTTTCTTTCAGAAATGATTTTTTAATCAGTAAAATAAACGGGTGTAAAACTCATTACCTGAAGTATAGTTGTATTTAGTTCAACTTGAACAACTTTTACTTCTGTTTTCTGTTTTTTTTGTTTCTGTTTGTGTATTTTGTTTAAAACTTCTGTTTTCTTCTGGATTCTTTTTCAGTCGAGCAGTTGTTGAATTGGGATATAAATTTTAAATACAAAAAAGAAAGAGAATATTTTTATTCTCTGAAAAATTCTTTCGTAAATACTATGTGGCTTAACTCTACCATCTCGCATATTCAAATGTCTTGTTCAGCTTAAACTTTTGCCACAAGAAGTTAGTTTCTTCATCTTAGGATATCTTCCGGGTTGTGGCTTCTGGACTAGCCTGATAGAACTATTTGCAGATTTTCAAACTATTCCAGTTTATAGGGCTACTTTCTTTGTATAGAATTCCACTAAAAGTTGTTCCTGTTATTACCTAACTGCAGCTGAAAAATATTTTTATTACGTTTTTGTACTTTTCCAGATGCTAGTATGCAATAACAATGGCTGATGAAATCCACATGTGTCCGTCTGGGTTAACGAGATAGCTAGTTTAAATATGTAAGGTGCCCGTAATTTGAAAATCGAGCTTTTCCTTTTTCGTTTTTCGCACATATTCTGAATCAGCTCGACGAGCTGATCGCGAATATTACCTTTGCAACCTTGACACTTTGTTTGTTCAGGGAGAAAAATCTGAAATACTAGAGGATCCCAAAACGAGAAAAATCGTTCATTTCTAGAAAAACTTCTACGCCTTTTCTAAACGACTTCCTATCTCTATGAAACTTATTTTTTCAAATTCTCCGTCAGACATTGATTCTAGAACAGTGTCTTTCGAAGCTCTTCCCCGAAAAATAGAATTTTAGCAGAGCTTGAAATAGGCATCGCTCGACCTCTGTACTTTGCAAATTTATCTACTTGTTTGTTTGAAGTGCTATACACTTCGTTCGTACGCCAAAAGATTCGCCGTGACACGGGGAACAAACTAAATAAAAAAACTGTTTCAGGCAAGACAAAAGTGAGTATTTTCGCTTCTTCAAAGTCTAGAGCCATTTCAAGTTTAGCAACTACGGTAAATCATTTAAAAAAATAATGTTTCTTCACTATTCTCTGATAAAATTTAGGGCAAACGATTTATAATCAATAAATAATAAGGCCGCTGTTATATAATTAAGTGAAAGTTATATGAATATGCCTAGTAAGGATAGTATAAATCTTGTACGATTTATTAACAAATTTATTAAAATTAAATTTAAACCTGCAAGTGGCTATAGACATTGAATGTGAATACTTTGTATTTTATCTGAAGTAAATGTTTTTCATCGTGAAGAAAAAGCGTATCCATCTAGCTCAAAGAAATATAAAATTCGAAAGAATGCAATTTTCAAAGCGCAAAGAAAAGAACTGCCATAATGACAAATACTTTTCTTAATTCTCTCAGATGAGTATTAAAGCGACTACTTTGATAAACGAAGGTGACAGAAAGGTGCTCGTAATTCGAAAATCGAGCAGGTTTTTCTTTTTCGTTTTTCGCACATATTCTGAATCAGCTCGACGAGCTGATCGCGAATATCACGTTTGCGACCTTAAACTTTTGTTTCTTCAGAGCGAAAGAGCTTGAAATAGGCATCGCTCGACCTCTGTACTTTGCAAATCTATCTACTTGTTTGTTTGAAGTGCTATACACTTCGTTCGTACGCCAAAAGATTCGCCGTGACACCAGCAACAAACTAATGGCCCGCTTTTTTAATATTCTTTTTCGTTGCTAAGATAAATGAAAATCACTAAAAAATAGCAAGTTTCGCGCCAGCAACATTTCAAGCGATAAATCCATATTCTCAGCTTTCTGAGTTGAAAAGGGTTTATTTTAGACTGAGATCCCCTAGGCGATTTGGCGAGAAACTTGTTATTCTTCAGTGATTTGTATTTATCTTAGCAACGAAAAAGGATATAAAAATAGCGGGCCATTAGTTTGTTGCTGGTGTCATGGCGAATCTTTTGGCGTACGAACGAAGTGTATAGCACTTATCAAATTCGTTAAACAATTCCAAAACAAAGTTGGATAAAATCTGTACGAATCGATCATACATGTTTAAGCGATTTAATATTTAATATTCCTCCTAATTTAATGAGAGAAGTAGTTTCTGAGATATGTCCGTCATATGAACAGAAAATACATATTTTGGAATTTACTGTACAAACAGCTAATGATGATGTGAGATTAAGGAAATTTAAAAGCCGAGCACTCAGTGCTGGGCGAGTCCGAGCCATGACTCGTACTCGAGTCGCATTTTTTAAATGACTCTGACTTGACTCTGACTCGAAAATTGGAAGACGTTGACGCGACTGTTTGACTCGAGTCATTCATTCGAAAAAAATTCTATTCATTAAGTGCTTTGCATACATTTCCTCTTGTATAAATTTGGGTTATTTCTGAATATTCTTTCTTATTCTAGACTATTTTATTGTTGCGTTTCAACATCAAAGACGCCTTCGTCAGACAAAAGTAGAATAAATGCGAAGAACATATTAATTAGAGTATATATATATGTAAAATTAAAAAAATAGGTAACGAATACCGAAAAATTGTAGTTAACGTTCTCTATAAAAACAAACAGTAATCGGAAAAAAATAGAAAAATAATATTGATTCGACTCGACTCGAAAACACTGGTGACTGGTGACTGAAGTCCTGAGTTTGCCAATGCACAGTAAGGACAAACGCGAGGATCGAGAAGGCGGAAGAAATATTGCACAGAACAAACGCGCATATGCCTGAAAAATGGTAAGAGCTCCTCAGCTAATTTTTTGCCGACGGTACCTAAAACAATGTTATAATATTTTCTGCCGGATTCGTAGAGAATTAAACGAGGAATCTAATGGAAAAAAGATCAATACAATCCAATGGAATAAACAGGAGAAAATCAAAAATACGCAGCTGTTTTTCCTTTATAAACTACATTTTAATGTCGTTAAAAGATGTGCTCGTACTTCAAAGTAAGACATGATAGAATCTTTCTGAACACACAGTTAGAAAGCTCTTTCAACGGAGATTCTAACTAGCTATTTTGGATGTTTTAGCAGATGAAAAATAGGGAATATTTTTGAACAAACTATTGCATCATCCGTTATTCACGTGATAATGAACGTATAGATAGGTCGAAAATTCGTGTTTTAGTAATAAAAATATTCTATTTATTCTTAATAAACGCCTAATTATGTTAAACCAAGTTAAGGGTATTTCAGCCGCAATTGCACTGAACTTTGTATTTCTATTGTTATCCTTTAATAGTAACAATGTTATTAAATAAACTTAGTTTCTTTTTATAAAAGACGTAAAAAAGTCAAAGAATGTCAATATAGCGGAAAAGATAATTGTACTTCTTGCTTTAGTCAAAAAGACGGTCATCTTTTTTTTTATTTCGCAAAATATGAAGAATTAAAGTTGGAAAAATTGTTTCATTGGTTGTAAAGTAATTGAGATTGAAGCGCCACAATATTTCTTTTGCATTCCTTTTCAGTATATAAAAACATGTCTAATATATCTTTTGTAGAGAATTTCACGACGCATCTTTTAAGAAAACAATAAATCTTAGGAGATAAAATCCAACTGAGATATGAGCAAAATACTAAGTAGTCGATTTATTCTGAAGCACTCATTATATTGAAAAGTATCCGGCGAATAGTAGGACGTATAAATAAACATGATCAAGATGTATCGAACGCCATTGTTGAAATAACTTTCAATTTACATAATTAGTAGTATTAGAAATCTATAAAAAATTTTCATCCGTTTTCATTTCTCATTTCCTCTTCTCTTCTCCTCCATCTTAATCCCTGACCTTCATAGGTCATCAGGCATTTACGAACAAAGACAGCCTATAGAAAGGAAAAGGAATTCCCAGAAATATGTATCCTTTTAATTAAGCATTAAAGCTGCATCTTCTGATCTGAAGTTTTCTACTACAAATAAGATTCTGTAAAATGAAAAGAAATACAACTACGCTTTGTAAATGAGATTAATATTGTAATAATAGTTCGGAAATATTTTATCAGTTATTCCTAAAATTTTTAATTTAAAACGGTGTTTCTGGACGAGATTTCAAATAGTCTGACACCTTTGGCTGTTTTTCGACTTCTTGACGATTTTTCGTCAATCGTGCATATTTTTGTAAAACATTTGGATCAATTTTTAACAAATGGGAGTTCATTTCATAAAATAGTAGATCAGCCCATGTCAATGAGCCTCCGACGAAGAATGCTCCATTTTGTCCATACAGTTCCGCTAGTTTTTCCAAATTTTGTAAATGTTTTGGTAACTCTTCTTCTTGAAACGTTTTTATAGCTTGTTGTTTTCTTGCTTCATCTTTATCAAACATCAATGGTGACAATTTTCTCATTAAATCTGCGATGGTATCGACAACAGCGTCCACTTTTGCCTGCTCCAAATTATCTTTACCAGCTAGATTAAATTGTTTGGCAAGAAAACGTGCTATCGATAAGGATTGTGGAATTTTGGTCTTGTTAAATTCCAACACGGGCATCTGTCCTAATGGCATTTCTTGTTTATGAGCTGGCCAGTCGCTGTGCTCATAACGAATATCTTCATATTGTTGACCAGCCGCAGCAAAGATTAGTCGTGAAACTTCAGCACGACCACGTCCAGCAAAATAATAAAGTTTATAGTTTGACATAATTTTTTTAGACCTTTTTTGTGAAAATCTGATATTTTATATGTGTTGTATCTGAGAAATCTACGGGTTTATTTATACATATATATATATATATATATATATATATTTGCGTTGTCATGCTTACTCTAACGCTGCAATGATAATTTTTCTTTTTCCTTTCTTTCATATGAACGAGGCAGATGACGAAGCAATTTTTCACCATTCACGATCATAATAGCTATGCTATTGTATTTTCCTTTTCTTCCACTTGACACCGTCATCATAGAACTTAACACCATTACATGATTTAGACTCCGTGTTCTACCGATAAAAGTCACAGGTCTCCTCTGTCATTCCAGCGTATATGACAAACGGCCCAAAAACGGTCCGTTAACTGACCATTAACAGCCTGTTTGCGATCAAACGCATCTCTGAATCTATACAGCGCAAACAGGCTGTTAACGGCCAGTTAATCGACGGTTTTTGGGCTGCTTTTCAAATCCATGATCCGACATCCTTTTGACCGTAAAACCGCCATAAACGGCTCGCTTGGCAGCCATTTTCACATTAAAACACGTTAGAATTTCTCTACTTGGGTAGAATCTTGGACTATCAAGTACTGTTTTACACAATATTTGATAATCCAAGATTTATTACAAGTAGCGAAACGGCCAGTTAACGGCACCGTTGAGTGACCGTTTTTACGCCGTATTTCACATACAAATTTTCAGAGATTCAGAGATGCCTATGACCGCAAAGAGGCTATTAGCGGCCAGTTAAAGGTTCGTTTTTTAGGCCATTTTTCAGATGCATGATTTAAATTCTTTCATAGATAACAAAAAGCTTGTGTTTTACTGACTTTGAGTTCTATGAAGTTGCCACTCTCGTCCTTGTCGTTATAATCGACAGATATTCGATGAAAATAGTATTTCTTCTTCTC